GAAGAAGGGACTGCATAAACAAAGCACATTAGATGTAAAATAGCATGTTGTAGGAATGAACTGAACACAAAAAATTTTGAAGCAGAATAAGAATATGAGACTAAATATGAGATACTCCTATAAGCAAGGATCAGGTCTTAGTATTTATGCTGAAGACACTGCACTTTATTCTGTCATTGAAGACAATTGAAGAGTTTTAAGTGTAGAATTTGTGTTTTCATAGGATTTGAATACATTCAAAAAAAAAATACCTTGTTAGACAATAATGAGATGGCTTCAGGATAGTAGGGCACCCAAATGTTACAGTTGTCCTAAGCTGAGGCTAAGTACTTGAGCTCAGCTTAAGATGAACAGGTGCTGAGATGCTTAAAATTGCCGTAAAGAGCTTGTGTTACTGCACAGACGATGTGACATGCCAGTGACTGCTCAGATCTGGTGGATGCTATGCTCTGAGGTCTGATGGAGCTCTGCAGCCTTCAGAAATAGCAGGCATTATTATGTATAGCTTTTCCAAACCCCTTCCAATCAGGCTCGCCCTTTCTGTCAGTTAGAGGGTAAACTCCACGTCTCTCAGCAGTCAGGCCGAGAGAGCAAAGAAGGATGAAGACAAACTGAATCCTAGCTACTAAGCTCTGAGATGCAGTGTGTAAATATGCCACATTCACTCTTTTTCATTTGAGTCTGCCTTTCTGGGAAGAAACCATATGTCATAAAAAAATTCATAGTTTCTTTTTGATTAATCTCCAAGAGGAAGCCCAGAGATATTAAATCTCAGTACTCTCACATTTTTCTCCTCCTCTCATAAACAATTCAATTCCATTTGAATTAATATTTATCGAGCGCTGACATAATGCATGGCAGTATAGTGAATGCTGCATGAAAGGGATAAAACCCATGTCCTGCCTTAAGAAAACAAAGCAGTCTATTTTATGCAAGACAATAGGAATAATATAGCAATAGCAAACAGAGTTCTACAAGATAGTATCAAAGTTTATTTAATTCAGTCACCATTTATTAACATTCCACCATATTCAAGGAAACCAGTATGTCTTAAACCAAATTTGAACAGGCTATATTGACAAGGACTAGAAAAAGGAATATAGATTTTGTTCAAAGAAGAGAGTTGCATCATTTGTAGAAAAATAGATTTGTGCCATACTTCACATATGAATAAATGGGGCTATTCCTCTCAGCCAGACGTAGATAAATGGACCCTCATTTGTTGGTTTATCTGGAGTGTTCTTGTTTGTTTGTTTTTGTTTAATTGTCTCAGAGGTCTTTTGGACCTGGCTTTATTATGCCAAATTATGCTGCCCAAACTAGCCCAGACTGAGGTGAAGTTCAGGCCAGCTTTTTTTCCAAGAACTCCAATAGAATACAGGCTCTGGAATTACATTGCCTGGGTTCAAATCCTGACTTCACCACTTATTAGGTTATTAAATCTCTTTGTCCTTCAGTTTGACCATCTACAAGATGGAGGTACTAACTACACTTATATCATACAGTTATCAGGATTATACCTGTAAAGAGCTTAGACTGTGACTGGTTTGTAGCTTTAATTGAATGTTAGCCATTTTTTTTCCCTATAAAAATGTGGCGTCAATTAAAATATGCATCCCCAAAGGAATATAGAACCACTTTTGGAGTTTCTCTTTCACCAAACCTACATTTTATAAACAGTAGATGGGTGGGTAGATAGAGAGATAGATAGTCACAATTCGGGATCCCTGGGGAACAGATTATAAAAAGGAGATTTGCATGCAGGAGTTTTATTGCAGAGATCTCTCAGGATCAACTCCCTTATTCCTGTAGCTTCTGGAATTCTGGAGCCCTGTTTTCTCAATCTGGGCTAACTCTGTAGGTTTATCCAAGATCCAGCACATCCCACAGAATGAATACCTTTCTTATGAACACACTCGCACTTTAACTTCTCCTGCAGCCCAATCCTGCTTTCTTCTCTTCCTCACAGGTGTTGATCCAGAGTGTATAATTAAGGATCAATATTTAATGAAATTAATAAATTTTACTACTTCCTTGAGGACATTCTTAAGAGAAACTAGTCTTTTTTTTTTTTTTTTTTTTTTTTTTTTTGCTGTCAATGCTCATGGCAGAGAATATGAGAATACTAGTGCAGTTTGGTTTGGTGGTACTGCCTTGATCCAGGTTAAGGCTCCTGAAGTTTTACCCATCAGATCTTTTTACCATTAGTGCAAATATCAACCTAGTGAAAAAAGACAGATACATGTCTTAGTGCTGTCATGGAAATAGTTTTGACCTGATGGACCCCTGAAAAGTCTTGGCCAAGTGAATTGGAAATAAAAATACTACTTTGTATAATCCCATGAGAGAACATGGAGAAAGTAATTTAGATTCTTTTCATACACTAAAATCTCATTTTTTTAAATGATACTTCTTATCATTATTAGAACCCTGATTGCCATGTGGTTGATATGAAAGCAATTAATCCAAGTCTCTTCAAATGTTGTGATAAGAATATTTAAAAGAATTAATTTTTTTAAAAACTTCCATAACAGCCAAAAAGTGAAAGTAGCTCAAATATCTATCAACTGATGAACAAATAAACAAAAGGAATAGAACATTATTCAACAATAAAAAGCATAAAGCACTGATACATGCTACAATGTGGATAAACCTTGAAAACATTACACTAGATAAAAGAAGACAGTCACAAAAGACCACACACATATTGTATGACTCCATTTATAAGAAATATCCAGAATAGGCAAATCTACACAGAGAGAAAGTAGATTAGTGTTTTCCTAGGGTGGTAAGAGAGTTGGGGGAAGTGAGTATGGGGTTTCTTTTGAGGGTGATTAAAAAGCTCTAAAATTGATTTTGGTGATGATTGCACAATTCTGTGAATACACTAAAAACAATTGAATTGTATATTTTAAAAAGGTAAATTGTACAATATGTAAATTATATCTCAACAAAGTTGTTAAAAATAATTTGATGTTTTGTGCCACCTTCAGAATGGATAGGAAATTAAATTTCAACCTGGTCTTAAGTAACTACTTCTGTTTATATGTAGGAGCTTATGATGACTATTATTTTCCAGGAAACTGAGAGGAGAGTTTTCTGACTGATATTAGAATTATAAAAATGAGATGTAATAATAATAACAATGTTTATTAAATAATAACTGTTATTAAAGTAAGTCAGGAGCTGCTCTCTGTATTTTTTATGTGATTCTTCCTACAACTCTGAGTTAGGTAACTCTATTCCCATTGTACAGATAAGGAAACTGAAACATTCTTTAGTTTTCAGGTGGTCCATGAACATTTCCAACTACTTGGAAATTCTGCATGACAAGGACTGTGATATGAGGCAATTTCATTTTTAAGTAGATAAATGATTAACAGTCACCTTTTTAAATATGAAAGAGTCACCATTTTACATATACTGTAATATTTTCTAAGCCGAAAGAATATATGCTTTCAATCCTACTTGGTTTCGATATTCCTAGCAGAGGAGAGGGAGGTAGGGTACATGATAGAAGAGGCAGATTTCTTCTAATAGTATACTGTCTAAGAAGATGGATTAGAAACATAAAGAGCTAATAACACCAGAGATTTTCTTTGCTAGGTTATCTTTCATACATTAATTATACAGAAGAGCCTGCTTAAATGGATACTCTTGCTGTAAGAGTGTTTCTTTAAAGAGAGGGTATTTTTCCCTGCTCTGCACTTGAGTTGGGAGATATTATCAAAGGGCTGTGAGGGAGATAAGTTGATATAGTAAGACAAAGTTTATTTCATTTGTAGCATAAGCTTATTCACTTAACTAACCAATGAATCATCATTGTGTAGGAGACTGTGTCACTATGACAGATACCATCAGATAGTCTCTGTGCTGGTTTTAAATCAGGTATCCATGCAAACTGCTTTAACTTGGAAAATTTTTAAGGTACTCCTTGGGCTCTTACTCTACAGTGTAACGTCATATAGCTCTATAGTCTCTTACTAGATACTCATTTTTAACATCATTCATAATAAATATTGCCTGATATATAAGACAACATGAGAACTTTTTATGTTTGTCTGTAACTCCAATAAAGACAATAATCTCCAAATAACTCAGTAAAACAATATGCATTCTTTTTCAAACTTAAAATATTTTCATGTTTATTTCCTCTCATTTCAAGGGTGCTATTTGTATCTGGTCTTTTGGGTTCTTACATCTTGTATGAATAATAATTGGATTTTTTTACTCTTTAAAAAAATACATTATTTTAAAATCAAGACAGAGGAAATTAGATGGGATTGACTACTATGTGCCAATACTTTATCTGGCTTATTATACACATTATTCTATCTAATTCTCCCAAACCAGGAGTGAAAATAGTCTCATTTTCAGTCAATTGCCAACAACTTTTTTGCAATTTGTCCTGTATAATGAAAAATTGGGAAAATCTAATTATTTTCTGTTTGCTTCAGGTTTTTTTCTTTCTTATGCAACTTTCCTAAACTTGTTTGTTGTTCATGACATCACGTTTTCTTTTTCCTGAGTAACCTGGCCTGACTCCCACTTTCACAGCATTTCAGTTACCACACAGGTTTCAGCCAGTCCCAGGTTTTGCTGCCCTTCTGCCCACCTGTATGGCTGCTTCAAAGCTCACAGCAATGGAAGGTAGCTTCTATTTTCTCGGTAGCCTTTTCTCTTTCTTCAATTGACTTTGGTTCCCTCCTGTTACCTAAAGTTTTTGAGGTAGTTATTTCTGAAAGTCAATTTGGTTGGTTTTGTTCTGTCCTTTGTTTAGTTCTCCTTCATCACTTCTAGCTCAATTTTCCCTTTCTTTTAAATGCCAAATTCTTACATTTCTTCATGAACATAGTCAATGGTCAGCAAACATGAGGCTTGACTTCGTTGGATCCAGTAAAATAAATTTGTGACTTATTTAATACACACACACACACACACACACACACACACACACCTGCATTAAAATAAATCACTAAACAGTTGCAATTCTCTTGCAGAAACATGATGGCCACTTCACAGTCATCCAGTTGGTCGGTATGCTCCGAGGCATTGCGTCGGGCATGAAGTATCTTTCTGATATGGGTTATGTTCATCGGGACCTGGCAGCTCGGAATATATTGGTTAACAGCAACTTAGTATGCAAAGTTTCTGATTTTGGTCTCTCCCGAGTGCTGGAAGATGATCCAGAAGCTGCTTATACAACAACTGTAAGTTTACATGCCCTTTTCCAATATGGCTTGTTTACTTTTATTGTTTTAATGTTATTAAATGTTTTTATTTTCCTAATTTTCTGCTTTCATTGTCATTTTGTTAATTTAGCATCATGTTTTAATTGAAAAGTATTTGCTACATCTGAGTGCCTAGTTTTTTTTTAAAAAAAATCTTCTTATATTCAACTGGTTTTTTTTTCTTTCATTGTACTGTGCTTTCATTTAACATCATGTTTGAGGTGCACATCATGGCAGCCCTCACAACAAATTTACCCTTGCCTGAGGTATTTTTGATGTTTCAATAATAATATACTTTAAATAGAGTTCTGTATAGTCAGATAGTGCAATCAATTACTAATTCAGTGATAGTGAGGAACCAGTGGCTAGTTATGGTATGACTTGTTTTTCAAATGTTACGGAATGATCTCATCCGTAACATTTTGAGAGTACCTCAAAAAGTTTATGGAGAGATTCATATCTTTCAATTCTATTTTTCATAAACTTTTCAAAGTGCCCTCCTATACTCTAAAGCTTTTTCTAAATGTTACTTGGGGAAATGTGAGCAGTAATAAAAGGTTAAAACTTTAGAACCAAACTTGAATGAAAAGTTTAGAACAAATTGCATGATCTCAATTTGACCCATGAATAGTTTAAATATTTTGAATGACTTAAAATTAATTCAATTGTATTGATTTCTTTGGTTATTGTTAGAAGAATTTAGTCTCAAAGGCTTTGTTCAGCTATCTTAAAGCTACTAATTTATCAAATTACGTTATGTTCTGTTATTTTTTAAACAAAACCCTGACCACAGACTCCTTTGACAGCTTCAATGGAAAATGTCGGTAAAACTATTCAAGATGTTTGTATTCTGTTCTTTTTTCCTAACCTTACTCATTATTTTAAAAGATGCAACTCCTTTATTAAGTACCCCTTTATTTCATTTTCTATAAGATTTTTTAAAACTTTCCTGTATTCAATTACTCTGGAATGGATGCAAGTTCAAATACTATGAATGCAATATTTTGTGCCCTTACTTTGTTTGCTTTGTAGAAATGCTCTACATTAATTTATCAGTGATATTTTTTACAATTTCCTCAACAAAGAAATACAGTTCTAAGGAAAATAAATTAATCTCTCAGAATTTGATATATAAAGTAGCAGTATCTATAGATCTTTTAATTTAATCAAAAAGCTTTATAAAAATAAGTTTATTAATTCTGAAAATACATTGTTCATTTCAGAAAAAGCAGTATTTTCAACTCTATTTTCTAATTGGAAAATATTGTAATTATTTTTCTTTTTCTCAATACCTTTATTTTCTTCTGTCTTATTTTTATAAATACGTAAATTGAAACAACGTTTGGGGTTATAGAAAAATGCATATAAAATTTTTCTATTAAACACATTTCCAACCCTGGTGAATGGTGTTTAAAATTATCATATATAAAAATTGAAAAAGATACAATCTACTAAAAGAATAAAATAAGGTAGGAAATAACTATTAGACTCTTTGGCTGTAGGCTTATAGATACACTTGAAATCTTTTATTAAATAGTATTTTAACTGCTTTTTAAAATGAAAATGTCATAACTAAATTTAAGATTCTAATAAAATAAGCAATTTACCCAAATTTTGATGCATATATAGGTTTTATTGGATCAAATTTAACATCCAGACTCCAGGCACTTTCTGTCCTAGACTGAGAAATATTATTATTTTCTTCCTACAGCTAGAGTGTTTTGCATGCCTGGCTCTACATCTAAGACATGTTCATTCAGTGTGTACTTGACACAGTTTATTATAGAGCTGCCATAATTTGGGCCCTATTCTTTGGAGAATCAGTTGTAAAGCAGGTTCCCTATTTACCAGTCCCAAGAGAGAATTCCCATTCAGTGGAAAATAGCAAAGGTCATCACTATGCCAACCACCAGAAGCAGGAGTCCCAGTACGTATGCCCACTGCATCCTGGGCTACTGTTTAGGTCCAACAGCATTTACTACCTATTTTTCTGAGTCTAGTGAGACAGAACACACTTACACACAGGTTATTATACCAAGTGGGTTTATTATTTACAGATAGACAGCAAGGACAAAATAAGCCTAGGACTCATTGTGAGTCAGTCCCACAAGGTTCAAGAAAGCTGGAGAGAAAGCCCAAGAAGGATGGAGTCTTGACTGTGTGTGCCCCACTTTTCATCAGATCTGAGGGACCCTGGAAGACAGCCAGGTTACAGACCCCTAGGTTATATACCTCAGGGGCCACATGACACACCAGGTAAAGCCTTGAAGTACATACTGCTTCCAGTGGAGAGAGAAAGAAGCTGAGGCTGTCCCAGGTCTCTGCTCCCTAATCCAAGATATTACATTCCTTAGGAGGGACAGGAACAAGGCCTGAGCTGTCTCAGGCAGTTCCTCCCTATTTGAGGATATTGCATTACCAGCACTTACTACAGTTATTCTTCAGAACCACAAGGAAGAAAGGAGGGAGAACTAGGTCAGTCCAAGGCCACCCAGAGAATGATCCTGCATCAATAACAAAAAATAAAGGGATTGTTGAGAATAAATAAATGACTGAGAGACAGGACCAAGAGTAACAAAATGCAGCCTATAATAAAACTCAGGTATGTGCAGACACCAAGAGTAGGCAGTGCAGCGTGAAAGGCAACAACAGTAGGAGATATTTCTGGTACGGCTTTTGCTATGGTTTGAATGTCCCCTTCCAAACCTATGATGAAATTTAGGGAGTTCCAGTCAAGAAGGTGGAATAGACGGTCCCCAGCATCACTCGCTCCCACAAATCAAGCAATTTACAACTATAAAAATGTAACATCAGCCAAGGTGGGGCCGCTGGAGCTCAGAGGAAGGGGAGAGAGACCAACAGAGTTCATGAAGGCAGGAGAAACCATGTTGTGAGAAAGAAAAACTGCTCTGACGGTTTTGGGCCACAGCCACTCTAAGTCTGGAGCTGATGAGCGCATGGAGCAGGAGCTGGCAGAAGCCGCAGTTGTGCCTTTCAGATGGAGTTACTTGGAAGCAGCAGGGGAGAAGAGGGACTTGGCGGCTCCCAGAACAGCAAGACCACTAATAAGGTTCCCATGGACCCACACAGGAATGAGGAACCAGAACAACTGAAAAAAGGGAGCCGTTCAGATGCCAGTGAGTCATCACAAGGGACCGGTGCAGGACCTGTCCCATGGGAAGTGTTTGGAGTATGGTTGGTGGGGGAGACGTACCCACTGGGAGAACACTGGAACACAGCAAGGACAGCTGATCCACCCCCCAATCAGCATAGGACCAGTCAGAGGAGACTGGTTGGGAATGCAGAATTTCATGGGGTGCAGTTTGATGAAAAAACTCAGACACAGATCAGAGATGCTACACAACACAGATCCACCAGGTTTCTGGAGAGCTGAAAGTACCTATAAGGTCAACCATTAAACCCTGAGCTGCACAAAAAGCCTCCCCTAGGGAAACAGTGGCAATGCAGCAATTTAACTCAACCCCACACAGCTCAAGTACTGGTTCCTACAGGAACTTCCCCCATTTTCAAAGTAAGAAAAGGACAAAAAATTAGTTCTGGGCCAGGCACACCACCAACACCTTGGGGCCTGCCTGGGAACTAGAGGCTTGGAGCTGGGGACCAGACCCCACTTCCACAACCAGGCACACCATGCCAGCACCTCGGGGCCCACCCGGGGACCTGGGGCATGGATAAGGGGACTGGACCCCCCTCCCACAACCAGGCACACTGCACCAGTGCCTCGTGGCCTGCCCAGTGACCCAGGGCAAGGAGAAGGGGACCAGACCCCCCCACCCACAACCAGGCACACTGCACTAGTGCCTCAGGGCCTGTCCAATGACCCAAGGCATGAAGCCAGGTAGTGGACCCCCCCCCCCCCAACCAGGCACACCACACCAGTGTATCGGGGCCCACCTGGGGACCAGAGGCATGGAGAAGAGGAACAAACACACCCCACAACCAGGCACACCACCAGCACCAAGGAGCATGCCAAAAACACCTCCATGTGGTTGGTCCACCACAGCCACCACAGTAACCATGGCTGCTGCAAAAACAGCTAGACACCACAACCACAACGGAGATTGTCCACCAACCACTGGAGTGCATTGATGTAAGGAGAGTCATCAGCAGAGATAAAGAAAAGAAGAGGCTGTCTCTCTCCACAAAGCCCATTCCAGAGTGAAAGAAGAAGCATTTGCTCTACGATAATATTGGGAGACCTGATCAAACCTCTCAGCATTAAACAGATCATCTAGGCAACAAATTAACAGAGTAACCACTATTCTTTCAGAAGGAGAGAAGAAATCTAAGCTGGCCAGTACTGGGAGCTGAACCCTTGACCCTGGTTTTTAGCAGCACCACACTCTACCAAGAGCCAGCCCTCGAGATTCTTTCCTTCAAAGTTTATAAGAAACCATCGCTGAATTTGCTGAAATTCAGTATCACAGAGAGAGACCGAAAGAAATAGAGAGAGAGAGAGCACTGATACAGCTTGCTTAATGTTCTGTTTAATTAGCTAAATAAAAATGTGTGTGAGTTGCAGGCAGTGGTGAAGCAGAGGAAGCAAATGTATAAGCAGGGGATTACAGATTCAATCACCTTGTGTGTAGCTTCTGCTAAGTGCTAAGCACTGTCCTAGACATTGGGGTGAAATAAGAAGTGATACCATCTGGCCTCAAGAAACTCACAGTGCAAGAGAAGGTGGAAAGATAACACTGGAATCAGTTCATTTGGGGGATGAGCAAAAAGTTTGAGGCTTCAGAGGGAAAAAAAAAAAGAAATAAGGTGTTTCTTCTCTGAGCCACAATTTCCATTCTTGTACAATTCAGCAGCAGTTAACAACCATCTGGTACACAAAAGGAGAGAACTACTTCATTCTTTCTGGTAGGCCTAAGTTCAAGCATATGTCAGTGCACCTAGTGCCATCTCCTAGGTTGTAGCAAGACTGCCAGTTCACAGAAACAATCAGGCTATCCCTT